TGGTGTAGCAGCTGCCCATCGCGGTATATACCCGTATAACGGCATGGACGAATTATTTCCCTCATTAATGTAGACGCGGCACAGAAACGAACTGTAAGGGCTGCGTGCTACCGTGCTTTTTCCCTGATCCGGCTCGACATCCTCGTGGCCGGTGGGGGGGGGCGCGTTAGGCGTCGGCTTCCACTCGCCGGTTGCATTCGCCACATTTCAGCTGACTGAGGTACTGCTGCAGCCAGCTGTCAATGTCACTCGAAACCAGCCGTCTTCTCGATGTCCTTGACCGACACCATGACCAGTTAACCACCCGCCGCCGCCGATTCCCGTCCCTATCACCTTCACTATTCCCCCGTCACTATCACCCGCCGCCTCTATCACCGCCACTATCACGCGGTCGACATATCACCTCACGTGATCACCGATCTCTTCACCGTCACTATCCCGTCACTCATCACCGTACACTATCACGCGTCCACTATCCACCGTCACTATCACCGTCACTATCACCGTCACTATTGACCGTCCACTATCACCGCACTACATACCGTCACTATCACCGTCACTATCACCGTCCACTATCACCGTCCACTATCACCGTCACTTATCCACCCGTCCTATCACCGTCCACTATCACTCACTATCACACCGTCCTACAATCACCGTCACTATGCACCTCAAACTATCGACCGTCACTATCACCGTCACTATCACCGTCACTATCACCGTCACTATCACCGTCACTATCACCGTCACCGTCACCGTCACCATCACCATCACCATCACCGTTGACACCTACACTGACACCAACTCAATGTTTACACCTTCACCTAACATTATTGCAGCCACTGTGACGAACAGCCTCACCAACTCCGAAACTAACTCCAACACCATCATCTTCACCGTTATTCACATAGCGCGCCCTAGACTGCGCTCTGAGAGATTTGACAAAAGTGAACGTAATAATCTAGGTTCAAGGAGTTGAGACGGCGTTAGATTGTGTTACCAGGTATCGGATAGATTTTAGATTTAGCTTTATTTAGTCAAAATCAGTGAAAACTGTATGTGGGGTTGTGAAGATAATCTGCGCAAGTTTTCTTGAATTCCAGAATACCTTCCCATCATTTTAACTATCGATAGTTGAAAGATGAATAAAAATTAAAAATAAATTTAAAATAATAATAATAATAATAATAATAATAATAATAATAATAATAATAATAATAATAATAAAATTTGAAAAAAAGCGCGCATTTAGCGACATTTGAAAAAGTAGACATTTTTCCCCGAGTTATAGAAAACTTATTTTGCAACGGTAAACGAACTGCAGATTTCATTTTCTGCATTGCTAACAAAATAGTAACTCACCCTTACCTCTACTCCTACTATTACAAGCAAAAGGAGAGTTCAACAAAACGTGCGCAGAGTGAAGCTACATTTACGTAGTACGATATTAGTAATTCCATAATCTTAGAAGAGAATTCCAGAGGGAGCTCGTCTTCGCGTTGTTGGCTAAAGCGGTTTTCGCAAGATCGTTCTAATCCCCATGGATAAGAGTAGGAGCAGCAGAGAAACGTCTTCACTGGCTCCCCAAATACAAAAGACAAATAATGCTGTGTTACTTTAAAATGCATTGTAATTTCCAGGCGAAGTCCTATACTTCACCGCCGGTGTCGTAGCGTTTCTTTTTGTTAGTTTGTCACGTCAGTGTTTTTATTTGCATACGTTACACTGACAGCCGATCACGACCAGTCTTACAGTGCAAATAAATGTTACCTCCCATGATCTTGAGGCCTAAATATAAACTTGTTGCAATGAAAGCAGAGTTGGTGTTTTAAACTCTTTGGAGAAAATCTTGTGGACACACAGATTAAAAATAAAGTCGTTTGTTTTAACAGTACATTTTTTCACTATTGAAAAAGCTGGTACGTGTGAGAGAAAGACTTTTTTTTTTAATTCGTAACATTGCACAATATATTTGTCGTCGCATAATCGTGTGCTTGGCGGCGGAACTGTCACATGTTGTACTGGATGCAATCATCGTATGGAAATCAAATTTCTACATGTTAATGTTAACATTGAATTCCAGTCTTACGATTTTATTAGCGTCTGATCCTTTTAACTCCTAGAATAATCTTGAAATTTTGAACTGTTCTGTGTAAAGCCATGAGACGCTACTGCATTACAGTCGATACCCGCATCCATTTATTTATTCCTTCTTATTTCACTGATCAGACTATGTCTTTACACGTGTGTTTAACGTTTTCTTTTGATACAGTAGGATTTTTTCTATTTATTTACGTCAAAAACAGTAAAAAGCTGTGTGTGACGTGCTATGGGGAGAAGTTAATTTGAAGTTACATTTAAAATACAAGTTTGTAATATAATCCAATTAGGCTCCTGGGAAATTGTGGCTTGAAGATATGAGATTGAATGATTTAACAGGTGGATAGATAATGGTAAATACCCAGTAAAGATGGGCAATTGGGGTGTAAGGGAGTAGGTATTGTCAGGTCGCGTTGTTCCTAATTTTCATTTCTGATTCCTGCCCTCTCCCTTCCCGCCGCTTTTCCCTAGCTCGTCGTTGCCTCGCGCGATCTCGCTGCCAGGTCTCTTCCTTCCATCGCCGGCGGAAGCGCTAGTACTGCAACTGCCGCCGGGGTGCGTCCGAAATCCAACAGCTTGCGTTACGAGCTTCGGTGTACGTGGCTGATGGATATCGAGCCTTTCGCTGGAGGCGCTTCCTTCCGCACGGAAAGGTCTTAATTTCCCTCCTAACCTTCGCGCCGATGGACTCTGCCTCCTTATCCAGTGAATGGATTAAGTTATGAGCTTGTTTCATTGGGAAACCTTTCAGTACTGTCATTCATGATCCATTACAAAGGATGTTAGAGATAAGAGAGTTTCACACGTAATGAATGAAGGTTTCAACACCGATAAATAATGCGTTTTGTACAACTAACTGTTAAAACCTATGAGGTTTTAAGTTTACTGGAACAGTCATCATCTTGTACAACTGTCTAGGCACACATTTCAATGAACTTTTTTGTTCGCAGTTGTGAGTGTTTGTTCTTTTCATATCTTTTCAGTTCCCTAGTTCTCTCTGGTGTTATTTGGGCTAACTTACCTAACTTTCTTCCTTTTTCTCTTCATACCTTCATCAACCTTTCTGTTTTAACTAAAGAAAACATCCTTAAAACAGGTCCAATTCAATTATGGTTTTTATTTTATCTATTATTTTTGTCTCTTCAGCAATTTTCCTCCAAAGCGTTTAATTATTAATTCCATGCTTACCATTTTCTTTATGCGCTGTTATAACCCCTTTTCAAAACTCGCGAGATAATTTTTCTTTATTTCACTCAAATAGTAATGAACTACAACTTTATTTTACCGTCATTGGAAGTACAAATGAAATTCATTCATTTCTATAATGAATTATGACATGCATATATATTTCCTTTCTCTTTTATAGCAAATTGATATATCGCGTAAGATGGAGTCAAAGTTCACAAAAATCGTGAACTCTATGTCAAGAAATACTCTTACAATTCCATTTTTAAATATAATCGTGTCAATCACCTTTGCTCTACATTTGTTATGGAAATAATAAATGTTGCATTTATCATTGCCAAACATCACCTTGTACATTTCACCTCTACGAAAGGATATTTAATAATTGATTATTCAGTTTCGCCCAATAGAAAATAAAGATCTTACGCAGATGCATATTGAACTGTTTCCTTTCCCAACCCGAAGCGTGTTTCTTCTTCGGGCAGAACACTGCTATCACGGACAGAAACCGGAGTCCAATCCAGATAAATCTGAACTTTACCGCTACAAGCGCGTCGACGGGCTTAGTTATTCATGTAGAGAGCGGATATAACAATCCAATGCGAACGGGTACCACGTTACTCGAGGTTGTGCCGATGGTATCGCGAACAGCTGTGAGCGCCGGGAACAGTCTCCTGGCGGCGGCGGGGGCGGCGGCGGCGGGTCTGTGTGAGAGAGCGCCGAAGTACACTCCTTTCCCGCTTGTTTATACAGCGCGATTTCGCCTAGGCTACGCCCCGATGGTCGCGTTCTCTACATGTGCCGTGGCTCCTTAAGGTTCAGATCATTGGTTTTATTTCTTCTCCGTTTCTTTTCGCTTGTATATTTTTTTTTATTTACTGTGTTTTAAAGGTTGGCTTGCCGCATTTTTGAGGTCATAAAATCACTTATATTTAGGAAAACAAACAAAATATTGTGATAAGATTTCTTTCATGGGATTTTTATTATCTTTTCTGCGTCCTACACTTGAAAGGAAACTTATAGTTCATTTAGAACAAATATATACACGATAATGTTAACACGAAAATTTTAAAGTGGAAATTGAAGCCTTTTTGAGTAAATTTTTTTTCCATTTGTTGAAATTGCCTGTTTCACGTAAAATTACGCAAACAATACTCTAATTTTCGAAAAATTGAACCGGTACTTTTTTAAAGATCTGTTTTTCTTAAACATGAACACATTTCATTAACGTATTTCACTGAGAAAAATCTATCCTCACTACTGTTGTTGTAGGAAGATGCTGGAAGAAGTTTGAACTTTTGTGATTTTCGTCAATTTAGGGAGTCCAAAGAAAATGCTACCTCGGCGATTTTATTAAGCATTATTTTTTTTTGAGAGGAAACAATTTCGAGAAAAAATGTGGCACTGTTCTTTAGAAAAGTTCGAAAATATGGTAGCGTCATATAATGTACCCCCTAAAAAATAAAAGATCAAATTTAAGAGAGCGCGGTAGTCAAAAATTTCTAAATTTCTGGATTTCTTTTAGATCGATCTCGGAATATCAATTTTGGAAAAAATCTGCAGAACAGTTTAGGCGATGGCGTTAACCACAGAGAAACAGGCAGACGTATTGCCGTCAATCGATTTTCCAGTATCAGGGACCCATAGAACATGGATTTATACCCCTACACCATGTGTTAGGGGAAGTAATTTGCTTTATACAGCAACAGGATTTATCCTCTTTTTCGTTACCAGGGCTCGACAATCAGTGCTTTTCTGCCAAGAATTCTACGTTGCCCGGCGCATAACTTTACCTTCGTACGAAGTAAGTGCAAGAAATTAAAAACACTCCAAATGTTTCTCTTTTATTTGGATAAAGAAAACTATGCTTTAAAAAATAACGCTTGTCCCATTTTCAGCAAATTCTGTGTATTTTCGAAAACTGCGAACACAAATTAACATTACAAAACTACAATATGAATTTTGGAGATTTTTTCCCAATAAAATCTGTTCTTTAATACTAGGTTTTCAAATAATGTAAATGAAAATCTATGAATTTTTTAAAACTGCAAATAGATATTTTTAAACTTCGTGGTTGCACCTACGAAGCAACCACGCAACCACGAAGGGGGTGTAGGTGTTTCGTGCCTAGCGTGGTTACTCTAAGGGTTCAAGTTCGTATCCCAGCGCGAAGAAAAAATGTTGCCGTTTGAAGACGGTTCATACAGTATTACAATATTGCGTTGTCGCTGCAAATGACGCAAGAACGTATGTTCTGCTAAAACAGCTACCTTAAATTGTTCCACATTCCTGCCTTTCAAGGTTTGAAGTGAGATGTTGTTTACAATCGCCGTTTCATTTTTTTTGTGTGTCTTCGCTGACTGTTTATTTTCATTGAATTTGGTATTGTTGTCGTTTTTAGTTATACATTAGTTAATAAATATTTTAAGAAAAATAAACTTTCCACTCTGTAGAAAAAAATGTTCATAACTGCTTCTAATCTACCAAATACAATAGTTCTGACTTGATGTTACTAAAGATTAGCTAAAGTGCATTGCTCTAAGAACCTAACAATGAAATATGAAATCGCAGGAACATATTGTAGGCGTCATCTATTGTAGTATCTTTTATGAATAATAAACAGTCTTGTCATTCGTCTAATTGAAAAACTGTCGGAAGAAAATGTTTATAAATTGACTTGTCAAATCAATATTGACACATTTGTGATAAATCTTAGGTTTGTAATTATTGTTTTGCAAACTGTGGAGGATTATCTTTATTTTTCAATGTACAGCTAACTATACCATAAAATTGTTTGTATAGCTCGGGGTAAAGGATTGCCGGTAGGTAGGTGGAAATACATTTGTCGGAATTATTTGGTTGTTGAAACATAACATCAAGAATGGTATAATTGGTTAAATAAGCATTCAGATGTATATTCTTCACAAATATAGATGTTTATTGAAAGTATTAAATTTTTTACACACGCGTGTTTGTTACTCATGAAATGTTCACAAAAATGATTAAAAGTTTAATTAACAATATCTTCCGTAAGTATTTTATAACATAACGTATATATTATTAACTTTCGAATGAGTATACATTAAAAAATCAATATCGGATATTTACTGATTCTCTAAAACAACCAAACAAAATTTACACAATTTTTGAATGTTTCTAAAATTCTCTGAACTCGGTGATTCGGACTGTATGAAAACAGAAACTCGGATCAAATTAGATAAACTAGCAAACCGAACAAGACGACACACATCCTCAAAACGCAAATCTTCGCAAGTGGGAACGAGCAACGAGTCACAATGTGCATCGGCAGCGAAGGAAATGGCCGGCCGTTGCGCCGCATCTGCAACTCGAAGGCGCGGGGCGCGCTTACAATGGGCCGAGACTGGTCGCTGCTTCCTCCGGTGGACGTCGTCGAGGTTATCCGACGCTTGAATTACAAGATTTTGACGCCCGCGTTACGACCGGATAAAGCGTCGCCTCTGGACGTAAAGAGTTGGACGTGGGGCGCGCTGCTGCAGATCCTAGTAAAATAAACGCTTTACTGTTATTGCGTGAAGAACGGTGGGGAACAAAAGAATCCAGATGAACGGTGAGGTACTTTGCATGGCAGTGTGTCACATTTTGACTTGTTTGTTGGTGTGTAGATTGGATTTAAGTGGACTCTGATTGTGATGGTAATTGAATTGGATTGTTTGGTTGGTTGGTAAGTCTTATCTCTCGAATGTTAATTATTTTGTTGTTTAAATAAGGGTTTGTTTGTTATTAGATTATTCGCTCTTCGTTAAATGTCTTATTGCTTGAATATTAACAAACTAAGTTACCTCGTTTGCTAGCTTCCTTTTCTGTAATGAAGGTGTAATTTTAATGTATTACACAGACGTTTGAAAATTGTGTAAGATACCCATGCAAAACCTTCGGGTCAGCATGCCAAAGAATATAAACACTTCTTTGAACTTAAAATTGCCTCCCTTAGAAGTCTCATTCGAAAATCAGCTTTTCAAAATAAAAAATTACTTCCAACAGAGTGACTCATTTGTGGAAACGAACATCCTTAACTCCTCAGTAAATATAGTTCCCATCTTTCATTTACGAACCAAAACATTTCACACCATTCTAGTTTTGGAGGGTTGACTACTGAAAACATCATTTTGAATCAAGGGCGTTTTTGGCGTTGTAAGAACAGCATAAAAGATATTTACTATTTGGTACTTCATAGATTTGCTCCAGTTTCTTACGCCCCACAAAACATTTTGTCACATTTCTCTGTAAAATGGGACTTCTTTCAGTGCTCACTCCCAGGAGCGACTGAGCTCCAGTTCCACAATATGTAGTCCTGTCCCATTAGTTTCTCTCTTGCTTCAGGTAGCTTGCCCCTCGAATGAATGATTCCAGGGAATTTCTACCTGTCCACGACTTCATCATTGAAAAGTGCTTCCCTACCCTCGCGCGTGGACACTCTGTGGACAAAGACTGAACACTTTGCTCCAACGAGCTGCGAAAAGAGATGGAGGAGAGGGGCGGTACAAGTCGAAGAGTTAGCTTTTGGTGTCACGGCATTTCAGACATAGCACAGCAAAACAATAGCTTGTGGAATTCCATTTAAGTGAAGGTTATCTTTGTTTTACGTCCATCTTAGCATTATCATGGACATAAGATTTAATTGGAACAGTCACATCACATGTAAACTTCAGTCAGTAGGAAATTAGCCATATTGGTTCAGTTCTCAATCGAGAGTCATCTTTAAAAATGTATTCTTTTTTAACAATATTTTAATTCAATTTCCGCCTAATAATTACTTACGAACACAGTGTTTGGATTACAGCTGCACCAACATTAACATGAATGCAATATTTTTAGTGTGAAGTCTTTTGGGCAACAGTAAATTCGCTCTGGTTTGTCACCAACAAAACCTTCATTACATCTTAATATCGGATTTGATGAGTTTAATTTACTTATCATAGAAAACGTAATATAACTGGTTATATTTATTT